TTAGCAATAATATGTCAAGTAATGTTACATTTCGACAATCCTTTCCTAGAGTTAATCTTTCAATACTTTAATACTAGAGTAATTATCTTTTTCAAAGAATCATTCTCGTGTTCAGGGATATACACAAGATTTTATGCTAAGGGTGAACCTCTAAAATTTTAGGAGGGATACATTTATAAATTTTAGGGGTGAAATCAAAATTTCAATGGAAAATACATAAAAAGAATCTAAAATATATGATAATTTTAAATTTTTAGGACGGCTACTCGATCCATCCATGTTCGTGTTTAGTTCACAAACATTCCCCCAAGTGATAATGACACATTACTAACTGGGAAGCGCTATCGAGTTAATGAATGTTTCTCTTGTTAAAGAATCGAACCTTGAAAGCTCTAGACTCGACGAAGAACAAAGGGGGATGAATAGGGGAAGGTGGCGGTAGCAAGTAGGCTTATTTAGGATTTCATTTAGGTGCTGGAAACAGGTAAAAATAATATTAGAATAATATAAACAAAAGATAAAGAACTTAAAAATAAAGTATGATAATCAAGAAATCAAAAGATCTCCCTTGTGAAGGTAGATGGCAAAGATGATTCATGGTGCGGATATATTTGTGGAAAATAGATGGATAAGTGTCCTATCGAACCTTCCTAGTCGTAATGAAAAGGCAAACTCGATAATATGGCTCTAAGTGTCCTATCGAACTCTCCTAGTCACAATGAAAAGGCAAACTCGATAATATGACTCTAACCAGCCCTCATAGTCGCGATGAAAAGGCAAATTGGAGTGTGAAGATTAATCTCCCTCACAAGAATTTGAAAGAACTCCAGGAGAAGAAGCTTCGAAGGCACAAGGCAATCAACACTTGCAAAAACGAACTCTCGTTGTATTATTAATCAAAGAAATTTGTTTTACGAAGTTGAATGAAACCTCCTTTATATAGGGGATGAGTTCTAAAGGTCCTAAATAACTAATGAATAAAATAATAACAAACTAAACATTTCTAAACTCCAATTCCTAATAAAATAATAATAACTAAAAATAATATTTTAACTCAACCTTAATTCCTAATAAAATAATAAAATTAATCCTAATAGATAATGCATCATCCTATATTAAATTACATTACAAATAATCAATATAAATATTGAAAATTCGTAACATTTACAAAATAACGTATTAACCTCGTATAGGAATTTCTGCATGCACTGTCTTTACTAAAACGAACGTATCTTGAGTTCCCAATATTGGATTGATGTGATTCAAGAACAGTTGGAAAGATAAGAGACAGAAAGGTGTATTTCCAGAAGACAAATTGACTAAATAAGATCAGGATCCCATTCAAAAAGTCATCGTAAGTCTGCTGCTGTTCTGATATTCTTTTTCAAGGCTTGGACGAGTGAATCATTTGGAAGAGTTATTACTTCTTCCTTTGATGTGAGCCTTGTGATGCATGTATCATCATCCCTTTCTTCAAAAAGATTCGACCTCGAATCTAAAACATTAAAGGGAGCAACATTATAATCGTTTAATGATTTAATCACATTATGCTTACCGAATAGATATGCTTTGAATCTTCGAGACTTTGTTCTTCTAATAGGTTCGAGTAGAAACAATAGTCCAAAGAAGCATGTATTATGGACTCTAACGCATGAAAAAGAACAAAACCAGAAACCTATAAAATGTTGGGTCAACTTGAACAACGTTTTTTAGGGGGTTACCAGTGCCCAAAAATTTTTGAATGTCGTTCGATGTGTGTTGAAACTACCTGTAAATTTTCAGAACCAAATACCTTCAGTAGTATCCAGTAGACTTTGTTGAACGGTGAGTCCTCAAACAGTCTATTTTTTATCTCCAAAAATTCTGATTTTTTCTGTGAATGATCTTCAATATATGTAGTTTCAATCTGGAAATTTTCACTACGAAATTATTTGTGTAGAATTTCAAGAAATTCGACAAGATTCTAGAATGAATCTACCGATGAAACTTGAACGATGTATTTGAAGGCTCTAATGAACTCTGATTGGGGTGAATTTTGGACCTAAGATTACTCTTAGGATGAATACGAGATATGGAGAAAATCAGCCATAAATTTATTCATTTGCAATTTTTTGAATTTTTGTGATTTTTTAGCCTTTTTTTAAAAAACAACAAACTAACAAGAAGAATTTGAATTTAAATTAAAATTAAATAAAAAGAACCTAAAACGATGAATCTTTTTTGAACTAGCTCCTTTGGGGTTCTTTACGATTTTGTATGCAAGAACAAGCAAGATTGCTTGCTTCTTTTCAAGAATCGACCCAAATCCGATACCAATTGATTGGAAAGTGGTGGCGGGTTAATGAACGTTGCTCTTGTTGAAGAATTAAATCTAAAAAACTTTAGACTCGATGAATAACAAAAATGAATGAATAGGGGAAGGTGGCGACATCAAGTAGGGTTCTTTAGGGTTTATTTTAGGGGCTGGAAACAAGGTCAAAATAATATTAGAATAAAATAAACAAAAGATAAAAAACTTAAAAATAAAGTATGATAATAAAGAAATCAAAAGATCTCCATTGTGAATGTGGATGGCAAAGATGATTGATGGTGCAAATGTATTTGTGGAAAAAATATGGATAAGTGTCCTATCGAACCCACCTAGTCGCAATGAAAATGCAAACTTGATAATATGACTCTAATCAACCCTCATAGTCGCAATGAAAAGGCAAATTGGAGTGTGAAGATTAATCTCCCTCACATTAATTTGAAAGAACTCCAAGAGAAGAAGCTTCGAAGGCACAAGACAATCAACACTTGCAAAAACGAACTCTCGTTATATTATTAATCAAAGAAATCTATTTTACAAAGTTGAATGAAATCTCCTTTATATAGGGGATGAGTTTTAAACGTCCTAAATAACTAATGAATAAAATAATAACAAACTAAACATTTCTTAACTCTAATTCCTAATAAAAATAATAATAAATTAAAAAAATATTTTAACTCAACTTTAATTCCTAATAAAATAATAAATCTAATCCTAAAAGATAATGCATCATCCTATATTAAATTACATTACAAATAATCAATATAAATATTTAAAATTCGTAATATTTACAAAATCACATATTAATCTCGTATAGGAATTTATGCATGCGATATCTTCACTAAAACAGACGTGTCTTGAGTTCCCAATATTGGATTGATGCGATTCAAGAACAGTTGGAAAGCTAAGAGACAGGCAGTTGTATTTCCAGAAGACATATTGACTAAATAAGATCAGGATCCTTTTCAAAAAGTCGTCGCAAGTCTGTTAATGTTTTGGTCTTCTTTTCCAAGGCTTGGACGAGTGAATCATTTGGAAGAGTTATTACTTCTTCCTTTGATGTGAGTCTTGTGATGCATGTATCAATTACTAACAACATCAACTATTCATCAAAAGTTAATGAAAATATCATTCTCACTTATTTCATTTGTAATGAATAATTTAAAACATTTTGGACCAATGTTACCCCTAAAATAATATGTTATTAATGTTAAAAATAACATATTATGTATAGTATAGGTATCGAACACATTTAAAGAAAATAAAATGTTAAAAATTAATGCAGTAAAACTTTTCAATATTTCTAGTTTATTATTTTAAATATTTTAAGTAATTATTATTTTTGAAACATATCTATAAACTACTTTATCCAAGGTTTTAAAAATATATTTTTTAAATTTTTATCCACAACACAACAGATTTAAAATAATAAACTATCAAAATTAAAAAAATTGACCATTAAAAACAATAAATTTATTGGAACAGAGAGTATTTAGCATTCAAAACATATAATTACCATGCACCGATTTCGATCAAAATTGACAAAACCAAAATATCGACCGTCGTAGATGGTTATCGTTCGGTCCCAGATTTCATGTGTCCATTTGCCTCGACCCCCTGAATCTGAATCCAACCTTCATTTCATCGGAACATGCTTAAAGTCCATGAATAGAGATCAAAAGTGAGGAAATCGAAATGTTCCAGTCGAGATTCACAGATTTTGGGATATTTTTTGGTGAAGAAACCACCATATTCAGACTCAAAGTGTCAAAGCGAGTCTCGCGGTACAATTTGGTATCAAACGATTGTCGATTCTAAAGGTCGACTGTGATGAGGAGCGATTGTTATTATGTGGATGGTGGAGGAGTGAAAATATTATTTTTAAATTATTTTATATTTTAATAATAATGAAAATACTACGTCATTAATAATAAATAAAAATAATAATTTATAGTGACCAAAACAGGAGTAACTCAAAAATTCAATGAGTAAATTAAAAAAATTGAAAGTACAGTGCAGGAAATAGGATTGAGAATTAAGTTTAATAAGAAATGATGTAGTTTACCCTTATTTTATATTAAACATAAAAAAGTAAAGTCGCCAAAGTGATTTAAATGGAATCAAAAGCTTTTAGTCCACATGGAGTTTTTGTTAATAGCTTGGACTCTACCAATGGCAGTAGGAAAAGCTGACGTACGCATAAATGTGAATGGATGGAAGGTTAAAGAAAACCGGTAAAAACACCAAAGCTTTTATACGACATTTCAAAAAGCACAACTTGTTTTTTCCCCTTATTTGGAGAAAAAAAACTTTTTAAGTGTAAAAAATCAAAGAAAAAATATAAGGAAAAATAATAATAATTTGTAAGTTTAGAGCCCACATATATAATCATAATGCCTCATCATAAACATATAGAAACAATAGGACAATGTTGGAAAGAGGAAGGGACCAATTTCCAAATATTTTTTTGGCAGCTAGTAGTTGGATATGTTATAGATCTAGCAATTATGATATAATATATGTATAGATATATATTCTAAATCTAAATCTAAATAATATATATATATATATATATATATATATACTTTATAGACGCCCCAAATTATTCAATATAAATATAATGTTTTAAATACAATAATTACAACACCTACATGAAATGGTCCATGATCAATTATCAGGGTATAAATGGAGCAATGATTTTAGATCAACAAGTTCGACGAGGGAATAAAAAAAGTATGGGAGGCGTTGCTTGGACCGAAGAAGAAGATCAGTTGCTCAAGAAATGTATAGATCGGTACGGTGAAGGGAAGTGGCATCGGGTGCCTCTTTTGGCTGGTAAACAATCACTAGTCTAAAATTTAAGGGTTTTTATTTATTTATTTATTTTGTCAAAGTTTCAGTTCAATGAAGATATGCTAAATAATGGGTTTGATTCATTTTCTTAAGCAAATTTGATAAACTCACTAGAAAACAAAATCGGTTCTCAACTGAATGCCGCCAGTACGAGTCGTTGAATGCCTCTGCAACATTCTGCAATAGTTGCAGAGATCAGCAACATGGCTATCAGATTAGCACATGCAAGTTTCAGGGTTATTGGCTTATGTTTTATGTTCAAGTGTTTTTACTTTTGCTCTCGTGCGTTCGATCGATCATCGATGCATGCATGCATGCAAATACATGTAGATCTATGAAAATTCCTTTGTTCATGTCCGTTAATTTGGTGGTGTTTAGGTCTAAACAGGTGTCGTAAGAGCTGTCGACTGAGATGGTTAAACTACCTACGTCCAAACATCAAAAGAGGAAGTTTTGCAGAAGATGAAGTTCAGCTCATCATTAAGCTTCACAAGCTCTTAGGAAACAAGCAAGTTTTATATATATATATATAGGGATAGGGTTCACTTACACGAAGTGAAAACTCAATTAATTTTATATTAATTTAGGAATGTTGGATGAGTGTGAAATGGATAGATGAGATTAACACTACAAGATGAGTACAAAAAAGATCATTCTCACTCATCCAATAATCTTAAATTAACGTAAAATTAATTGAGTTTTACATTTAATTAATCTACGTCGCCTTATTAATTCATATATGTGGTTTCATGTTCCTGATCTCAGGTGGTCACTGATTGCTGGGAGACTACCAGGAAGAACAGCAAATGATGTAAAGAATTATTGGAATTGCCACCTGAGCAAGAAGCTCAGTGCTCAAGAAACCGATAAGGAATATCAAACAGCTCGGAACATCATAATAACAGGCTCGACCAAACCAAGATTCCAAGATTACCATGTTGCTCCGAATAGCCTACCGGCGATCCAAGAAAGCAGCAAATCGGTACCTTTCGACTTCATTGAAGTCAATCAACAAGGCCACGAGCTCGTGAAAGAAGAAATGGAGATCAGAGAACAGGAACCAGCGGGTGGTCTATTTGTCGGAGATTTGGCGACGGAGGGACGTCAGTTTGAGGAGTTTGATGAAGTTAATGTATTGAGTAGGACTGATGAAGGATGCAGCAAATGGGATTGGGATGACTTGATGTTAGACATGGATTTATGGACTGATTTATTGTGATTGTGAGTTCCCTAAGTGGCAACAATCAGAGCAATTAACTCATATAATGCAGTAATATATAAATATATATTGGATGTTAAATTAAGTAATGAATTGATGGTTGATAACGGTGGTAGTAATTAGGGTAAGTATTCAATCGAGTTGTATCGATTTTAGAAACACTCACTACATCAAAAGTGTTCTGTAGAGGCGTTTTTAGCGGCTTTTTAAGGGAAAACGCCACAAAATTTAAAGTATATCGCGGCGTTTACAATACAAACGCCACAAAATGATACTTTAACGGCGTCTTTTAAACAAACGTCACAGTAGAGTGTAATTTAGCAGGGTTTATAGCTAAAACACTGCAAAAGATAGTTTATAGTGTTTTTTTTCAACAAACGCCTCAATAGAGTGGTAATTTAGCGGCGTTTGTTTAAAATGCCGTTATAGGTTGTTTATAGTGGCGTTTTTTCAACAAACGACGCTATAGAGAGTAATTTAGCGGCGTTTACTAAACAAACACCGTAATAGTATTGTTTATAGTGGCGTTTGTGCGAAAAACGCCGCAATAGAATAATAATATAGCGGTGTTTGTATGTTGTTTATAGTGGCGTTTTTATAAAAACGCCGCAAAAATATGAATTACAGTGGCGTTTTTTAAAAAAAACGCCGTAAAAGGGTAAATATATACTCCACACTTTTCTCCTGCCCAATCCCTAAAATCATTTCAGCACTACTTCCCTAAAAGGGATTTCTCTTGTACAACAACGACCCTCACACAATTGCAGCCGGCGTCGTCTTCTGTATGCCCGGTGACCAAATTTGCCCTCTCACTAGCAAACAATTATCACACGATTGCACAGTTTGATCCCTTCTCTCACTATTGAACTTTTTCATTTATTTTTTTTAGTATTCTGAAAATGGGGAAAACCCAGAAAGCTAAGTAATGGAGAAATATAATAGCTTTCGAATAGGAAAAAATATCTATACGTATTGTTTTACTGGTTAACTGCTTGGGGGAAGTGTTTTTTGTTTTCGAATAGAAAAATAATTGCTTTCGAATAGGAAAATAATAGCCTCTGAAAACGTGAATATCTATAGGAAGAGCAGATAAGTTATTCAGTAACAGAAAATATAGTCGGAATGTCCACGTGGCGTCTTTGCTCTGATGATGGATCAAATTATCATTGGGAGGCTATCAGTCCGAACTTGCCGTCGAAACTCGATGATGACCCGAAAGGCCCTCGTATTGACAAAATACCCTTCCATGGCCGAACTGCTAAGTGAAGGTAATGATTAATTGTTGAAATTGTATGCCACTATATTTTTATTTTGTACTCTAAAATTTCATAGATCGCATGCATGTATGATGTTCAAAGCTTATTGAAAACGATGATAGAGGAGTGGATAAATACCTGATGTTTAGAACGGAAATCGTAACTCAGTGGCGTTGAAAGAATCTTCAATTGCAAAAGCAATATCTATCCTCAATGAAGACAACGTTGACTCTACTGATACTCCAAGTAAATGTTTCTATCTTCTATTTAAATTTATTTAATGTTTGCTTCAGTTCCAAAGCCACCTCCAATGAAGTTTCATATTGTAGGTGGAAGGTCGTTTTCTGTTTCAAGTGAAGCACTGCAGCGAGCAAGGAGTGTTCTTGGTGAACCGGATTTAGGGGATTTATTTGGTGAAATGGATGAAGAGTTTCTCCATATAGAGTTTACACAGAGGAAAAAGTTAACGATACGTCGTCAAACAAGGAAAACAACTTTCTTACGTCCTTTCCCCACGAAGGAGCAATGAAGAATAAATTCTAGTAAACAATATGGTGAAGACTGTTTATGCATTACTTTAATGTTTCTAAATTTTAATGTATTTTGTTGTTAAGTATTTTTATGTATAACTTTTGTATCCTAAAATTAAATGTATGGTTGTTGGTAATTACATAAAACTACATGATAGTAACTTTAGTTTATATAGAGCCTAAATAAAATATTTAAAATATCAAGTTATAAAATAAAGGTCATTAGCGGCGTTTGTATCAATAAACGTCGTTATATACCTGACTTTTGCGGCGTTTATATCAATAAACGCCGCAATATGTTTACTGTATAGTGGCGTTTTATAAAGAAACGTCGCAAAATATTTTTACTTTTCCTGCGTTTTTATAAAAACGCGACTATAGGTGTAATCTATAGTGGCGTTTTTTTAACAAACGCCGCAAATATTTATACATTAGCGGTATTTTTGTACAAATGCCGCAATAGGTGTAATCTATGGAGGCGTTTGTTATGTAAACGCCACAATATAGTTGAATAATAGAGGCATTTTTCTACAAACGCCGCAATAGAGTTGAACAATAGTGGCGTTTTTTACCTAAACGCCGCAATATATCTGCACTATAGAGGTTTTTTTTGTAAACGCCACAATATATCGGAAGTATAGAGGCTTTTTTTTAAAACACCACAAACTTAGATAAAAAACCCCAAAACCCATAAATTTTCATCTCCCTCTTTATTTCGCAGATCACCAGCGAACCTAACACCCCTAAATTAAATTTTACTCGTAAACTCAGATCAAAACCCCAAATCTCTATCTGTCCAACTCTTTCGGATTCATTCTCCTTCGTTCAAGCCATATTTCCTTTCTTTATTTAAAACCCCAAAATATTTGAAACCAAACTTTAAAAGCAACAATGGGAGCTACTATTTTGAAGTGGTTGTAGCGACACTGCGGGCGCCGGTGCTGACGGTGGTGGAGGAGGAGAGCTGATCATTGTGACCGGTGAGTAATTGAACTTGAGGTGCTTGCAATGCAATGGTAATTTATTGTTCATCTGTCTATTTATTTCTGAAATTTATTCTTTGAGGCTCTATTATGTTTGAATATTTTCATATCGTATTCAGCATATTGCATAGTTCTTTAATGCTTCACTTTTACTTCAGGAAACTCTTCTTGTCCACAAGGATTTCAATCTTCGTTGCATATATAATTTGTTTATTTAATTTTCTAGATTTCTCTCAAATAAGTGATATTGATTGCATAAGCTATTTTTTTTTTTATTATTGTTTCTTATAATTTTAGTTTTTTCTTCCCAGATATCAGCTTAATATATTACATGATTCGCGATCAACGAACAATCAAACTCTACGTGCCCTGCAATGTGTTGGTGAGAACAAACAACTTAACCTAAGAACTATAAATTCATTTAAGAAGTTCATATCAGACGTTGAATATTTACCATAAACAAAGCTGTGAATTGTCTGAGATTTTGGTGCTTCATGGATTTATATTTTGATATTTGACTAGTGATACTAGATCCTAACATCTCAAGGTGTTTACAATGCGACACCTCGGTGGTGTCAATGATTGGAGTTCAAATTGGTTTTTCTAATGTAAGGAGACAACAACTTTAGGCAACTGAGTGAAAGGTTTCTAGATGATGAGAAGTAAATATTCTTTAACTTATATATTTAAAATGAGAAATTTAAGCTCCCAACCTCTTAATCATTAAACTTGATAAGTGAATTTTGCTTAAATAATTGCCTATTATATCTTATAGCCTATAATTAGAATAGTGCTATTTAACAATGTCTTTTAAAGTTGTGACTTGGGAAATTTCTCTTTAAAGGAGAAAAACATAACTTTTAAGTGAAAAATATCTCAAAGAAAAGGATTAAGGTCGTGGATTTGGAGTATTTAGTATGGCTTCTTATGCTTAATTAAGTTCTTTTCGTTTGGAGTACATTAAATGTTAGATAGTCTTTTAGGGATAGTTTAGGATTAGTGACATTGGTGGTTTCATTATTTTATACCTCTGTTGTAGAATCTTTTTCTACCACAATAAACGTTTGTGTGTGTGTATATAGGTCATAGTTTGAGACTTTGTATCTTGGTTGATTGTATAGGCCATAGTTCGAACTTCCTACAATAGATATATATCCATTAACCATTTCTTCTCAGATGTTGTAATGGAGAAATACTCGAATGTCTTTGTATTTCTTAGTTTCCCTATTGTGTTGCTTTGATTCTTGGTTTTTATCAGAAAATGTTTACATGACATACATAAAATTGATATACCACTATGTTACTATATGAATTCTATACTAACAATAAGAAACAATACAAGAAACAAGTTCAGTAGATTCCTCATCTTGTACAATTAGGAAAGAAAACTGAATGGGAATTGAGCTAATTAAACAATCAATAAATACTACCTAGTACTTGCACAGTTGAAATTAACATCCATATTGAGATCCATTAGTCCTTAACACAGGAGCAAAAATAACTGTTTAATTATAACCACTCGGTGATTAGGAAATTGCATGCAAGGCATTTGAAATGTGTGGAAATTTTCTGTCACCTTGCATTCACCCACACACGTACAAATAGATGAATAGACGAATATATATTTTGATTATAACTTAGCTAAAAAAATTATGCTAATTGTACTACTATATTATTGTTAAGATGCCTTCATTCAACTTGTCCATTGTTTCTTTCAAAATGTATTTTCAACTAAAGGATATTGCTGGAAGTTAACCATGGAATTTGCTTTATCTATATTGTTAACCAAATACATCAATGTGAAATTCCTAACCATTAACCTTCTATAAATATTCCTAATAACTTAGTCAGCGACAATTCCTACCTAACAATCAAATTCCCACTACATGCAAGGCAACACCAAAAAGAAAGCTAGCTATCATCCATAAATTTGTTAATTGTACTGAACTTCTTCATCCAACCTTAATCTAGCATCATAAAGAAACATCCAACTTTTTCCAGTTTTTCTTTTAATTCTAATCTAACAGATTTAACATTTGTAAATAAATACCCCTAGCCCTGTATCCATGCCCATGCATAGCTAGATAGTCATGGAGCAGTTCATAACCCTATTTTTCAAATATGTTCCAAAAATGCAACGAGCCTAGGCACATTTATGCTCCAATTTACAGCAACAGATATAAATATTAAGTTTCAGTCCACATAATTACTCTACTAAGAAGCTAAAGCATACTCAATTCCACTTCAGTAATGAATGTATGCATGCCATTTCTCAACTAAAGGCAACAGCAAAA